CGAAATGACGTCAGAGCGAGCTAACTAGCATGTTAAACCCATGATATTCCAGACAAACGCCGGTCAACTACGTTTCACTCAAACAATAAAATCACGATAATTTTGTCCGATACTGAAATCACGATAATTTTGCCCAACATAAACATTGCATCAGTGAAACAATTTTTTGAAGAAGTTACCAGTTTAATAGCTAATTCCAATGTTTCGGACAAAACTGAGAGTTTCATGGCTGGTGACATACTGCGCGCAATTAATTTGAGTGTATGAGCAGCTTTCTGGCACAAATCAGTCTGAAAAAATGGTAAATAATCCAATAAATTTTCCGCACTTTAAGTTTCCCCGCCACAAAGTCCGAGTTACCTGTCTTATCCTACTTTGTTGTTTTCATTAACCCTAAAACAACCAGAAAAGTTTCACCTGAAACAGAAGCGAATTTAGTAGTAAACAGAGTAAAAAATTATTTGCTGTCATGAATGAAACTCCTTTTCAAAAACAGTTAGGGACCGGGACGGGATCGAACCACTCCGCTCCACATCCGGTAGCAACGTAATACCCACTAGGCCACTGGCTTTCCTGCCGCAGGAGCAGTCTGGCAGCACATTTACTGTGTACCTACTTTTCAAGGCAGAATACAGTTCCCTACTGTTGGCTGTTCTAATTTCTTTCTGGGGACTCTTCGTTGTCAGCTTTTTGCAGGTTTCCCGTGATACCAACTATATCGATCGCAAAAGAATTCAAAAAGCCAAAAAATGAAGGTATTGGAAAAGAATAAAAATAAAATGATTCTACAGCACTCAGAATAATATCTCAGCTCAGAAAACGATATTTGTGAATTAGAAAGGGAGAAGCAGAAGTACCGTCATTCTGAAGAAAGGAGAAAGACGAGAACTAGGACTGAAAGGTGAGAAAATATTAAAGTCAACGGCCGATGAAACAATGACCTGAAAATCAGTGTTTACTTAAATTCATCAAGAACTCATGTCAGACTTACGTCAATTTTATCCCCAATTGGTTGAATCCATGTATTAAACTTCTCAATAAGAGTGTTCAGATGGTCCGCATTCATCGTTACTACGAATGAATTCTCGTGTAATAGTTTTGTGTTCAAAAATTGCAATGCACGATTCCGTAAATTCGGTAGTGCAGCGGTTTTTTCTAGAACATCAGTAACAAGCTGACCACATACACTGCTTGGCAA